AAAATGGGCTATTCCAGCTTTCAATTCTGCTGGAATGAGGTGATAAATTTTTAGCTTTGGAATTCCTCAGGGATAAGCAAATATTTTCTGTGTGGAATTCTTTGGGGGTAATCCGGTAATGGATATTTTGAATGAGATTTTCTGAGGGGTCAAATGTAAAAATTGAAATTCTTCCAGGGTCTCTCTTCATGGGTATTAACGGGAATTCTTCAGTGGATCTCTTTTATGACCTGTAGGAATTCTTCGGTTCAGCGATATGATGAACTCTTGTGCAACGGACCTGATTGTGCAACGGACCTGACGACCTTAGGGACGGACCATTAGAAAACTGATGGGGAGGGGGGGAACCAATAAAATTTATTCCCAGGAAAAAATTAGAGGAAAAAAATCTTCCCAGGCAGAGTGCAAAAAAAATTCCTTTCTTGGAAGATAGGCCTATAAATTTTAATAGAAAAATATATTTCCAGCCATCAAGTGAGACAAAAAAAATTTCTTCTATAGGTGTACAAAAAACAAAATATTGCCTCTTAGAAAATCCCCCCCATCACTTTTCTAATGGTCCATCCCTTAATTAAATTTGCTGTATACATTATGTTGCAACGTGTCACTATTTAATAAACTTATGTACAATTACAAATCAAGCCCACAAATCGTTGAATATACTCTTACCGCTCGTTGCAAATCACGCAGGCGCCTATTTAAAAAGCCCCAGCAACTTAACGCTCGAGAGAGCGTCTTGTTTTTAAATTACTTCGCCAATGAACTCATAAGATGCCAAGATGGGTCGTTTTATAAGTACGATAAAACATTCGCATCTCGCCTTCGGCTCGAGTTTGTATATCAGATAAAAAATCTCTAGTACTTATGTTGCGTTAGTATGTGTGGTAAAATTATATTTCTGGAAATGTAAACAGCATACTAAAGTAATCAATTAAAATTCTGTTGTATATACAGACTATAAAACATTAAAAGTATAATAATACAGACCATGCATGCACGATAAAGGGTGGATGTTGGGTCTATATATGGACCCCTTATAGTGTGCACACCCCTTATAGTGCTTTCTGGTCAGTTGTCATATCAACTTTGCACTATCCTTGGGATCTCTGAGTTAAATATTGATTTTCATAGTATAATTGGCTTTAATTTAAACCCGACGGCCTTATATGAAACAACTAAACCGACCTGCGTATATGAAACAACTAAACAAGACAGCATATAATTTCAGTGTATCTTTAATAATATTGATTACCTTTTTTATGATATTGAATTTTTTAAATAAAAAAGAAAGCAAAGTTATTTGCAAGCGAGAATTTGAAATTGAGGCTTATATTACGTATAATAACATACCTAACATATATACGTTGGGAAATTAATAATTTTGTAATTAAAAGTGATATTTTTTAGGCGATTTTTCATTTGTACGAATATTCTTAAAAAATCATCGTGTTACCATGAAACTACTTTAGATACTTCATGTTCGGAAAATACAATGGTTTTGCCAGCAAGGCGAGGGTTTCTGCATGCATGTATTTTCTAGTATCAATTCGTAACATTGCCTTAGTAATTAGTTTGTGTATATTAGAGCGAGGCAATAAGAACTGGTATTTACGTATCCACTATCCAGTGAAATAGTGGCCGGGCTGCATGAAATGATATTAGTAGCTAGTGGACGGGTATTCTGCAATACTTCTATTTGTGGAATGTGGTCTTGATGTTCGCTTTTAATCTTTCAGTATTTCCTGGCACGCTAGTTATCTTATACTGATTCCCTTCAATTGGGATGATAT